AACACAAGCTGAAACTACTAGAAACGGGACCCTAGAGAAGGAAGAAACGAGATCATGCGGTATCACAACGGACCCACTGAGGTCTAAGTGTGTCGGACTATAGTCCGACAGCCGCCCTAACCTAACCTAACCTAACCTTTCTGAGCTTCTTACGCAGCGCAAGTTTGTTTCAGTAGAGTGCCACGCCCACTCTAACGCCCACAAACCGCCCAAAACTGTGGCTCCTACAGTTTTGATGCTAGAATAAAAATTTTAACTGAAATGTAATGTTCTCATCAATACCTATCGATTGACCAAAAAAAAAAAAGTTTGCCACGCCCACCCTAACGCCCATAAACCGCCCACAAACTTCAAAAAATCGTAAATATGAACGTGGATATCTCGGAAACTATTAAAGATAGAGAATTGGGATTTCAGATTTAGATTCCGTAGCCTTATACGCAGCGCAAGTTTGTTACGCGAATATGCCACGCCCACTCTAACGCCCACAAGCCGCAAAAACCTGTGAGGCCCACAATTTTTTTGCTAGATAAAAATTTTTAACTGAAATGTATTGGTCTCGTCAATACCTATCGATTGGTCCAAAAAAAAGGGCGTTATTACCGATAGAATAAGAATACAGAGATGGATTACAACGATAAAAGGTCATAAAGTTACATCTAGAATAGTTCAAATTCAGCATGTTAATCATGCACCACGTATACAAACAATCAAGAATCAAGAATTAGGTAAACACATGGACAAACATAGCTTGACATCTGTATACCGCCGGTAGGTGGCGCATTTTAATCTCGCTTTACTACTTGCATATCTCAATTTAGCTGAGTAACGGGTATCTGATAGTCGAGGTACTCGACTATAGCGTTCTTCCTTGTTTTTTATATACTCGTGGACAATTATATCAGCAGGCCAAAAATTGGGGCAAAGAAGTTTAGAGAACAGCCCATCCGGAACAAGTATTTTAAATGAAGAGTAATCTCTTATCTGTTTAAAATTAAATTTGGTGATGTCAATACCATATTGATTGGGAAGGGAGAGGTTTGTGACAATATGATGCATAACGTCATTTACTGTTATTGCTGCATTCAACCTAGACACAAAAATAGATTTCCTAGGTACCGTGACAGTGAGTGGTACCGGAGAAGAGAGAGCAGGGCTATGCGTGTTTTTCCTAGGGATCATGCTAGTAAGTGGGACAGGAGGAGGTGCAAGGGTATTAACTATAGGCAGTACAAGGTGCGGCGGAGCCCCGGAAGTGGCAACAGCCGGTGAACGGTTAGTATGCCTTAATGACTCAGGCGAAACTACAGTCCCATTCGTTGATGACTCGATCCCATTGGGATCATCCTCGTCGCACGACACATAGCCTGCAGTGGGGCTGGGAAGAGAGAGGTTGGTCGAGAGATCTGGAACGTGTAAAGAGACATTAGGCAGTGTAGGACTACGATTTATATTTAATGAAGATTGACTTAGAAGAATCCGACCTTTAAAGTTGGAGTCGCAAACATTAAATCGACTTAATAGGTCCCTAAATCCAGCACGTAATGCCTGGAACTCCAGCTCCGTTTGCCTCATAAATGCTCTTATATCGATTTTGATATGTAGGCATGTAGGGCACGTCCAGTCCAGGTTAGCATTAGATCTAGTGCGATCAGCAATTTGGGCAGCACTATGCCCAAAGTCTGCACATTTTGCGTGCGCAATGTTCTCACATAACCAGCAACTAACAATTGGCTGGCGAGAAGTGATTTTACCAACAAATTGGCAACCAACAACACAGCAGGCAGACATTGTTTACAAGTTGAGGTCAGTTAAATGTAGAATGTAGAAAAAGTAGAAAAAGTAGGAAGCTTTAGATGAGTGCGCCAACAAACAGCATAAGAAAAGAGAGCGGTAAGACCAATTCAGCAAAGACCAGTTAACTCGAAAATGAGAGCCGGTGACTGAAGTTGGGAGAATGTAGCAGAGCGAACGGTGCGAGAGAGCGCCAAAACAACAATGTAAATAGGAAACAACAACAATGCACAAAGCACCCGCGTCTTTAACTATTATCAAATATAATAATAAAGATAATGGTTTTAACACAAATAACTAAATTGCATGCAAACGGCGGCTTCAACCGAGTTGAAAATGATACTTTGGGAATATATCAGATCGGTAATTTAGACACTAGGCGAATAAATGTAGGAGCAAATAAAAAACGCGTCCGTGTACAACAGAGACCGAATAACCATAACAATAAGTGTTTATCTTAGACCAGGTTTTTCTTAATTATATTTGGGGGGATATTAAACGGTTTTATTTGTTTGTGTTTGGGGAAGGTTAAGAGTTAGTGAAACGTTCAGTACCCATTTCCCTTTATGGTTTTTAGATGAATTTATATATTGCAAAGAGTTAAGATATTCTGTTGCTAGTCTCCCCTACCACATATGTCGACTAGTTTACTTTTCTTTTAGTTGTAGGTTCGTTTCCAAAACTTAATTTCTTAAGTGTGATTTGTGAAAGATTTTTCCCGACCTTGTTTTAATAGTGACCCTTCGGTCATCCTGAATTTCTTCTGCCTTGAATCGTTGCTTTTCTTTTGTTTATTTGTTTATTGCTGTGTTACCTGGTTCGTAGGAAATTGGGTCGCTTCTATTTTTATTGCGCCCATTGTTGGTTAGAGTTTGCTTGTGCTCTGGTGTACCGACATCTCTTTTATCGGCGAAGTGTAGTGCTAATACTCGTTTGATTTCTGTCCAGTCGTCATCCCGTACATAGTAGGCATTGAGCGCCATGTCGGCTTTGCCCCTAATTTTCTGCCTAATCTGGATAAGGACTGACCTGTATAAGGGTTTCTCCCGAATGACCTCGTAGTCGTTAATTATGGACTGTGCCCTATTGATCCAAGAAATGTACTTCTCGGAATCACCCTCGAAGGTCAGAAATTCCCTTACGCAATCCGGTACGGTCGAAGATTCTTTTAACTCATACTCCGTACGCGGACGCGTTAATGGTAGCGGTATGTCCGCTATCGGGTTGCGCTGTTCGAAGTCAGTTTCTAAAGTTCCCACCCTATTCTCAATTTTTTAACCTAGTCTTTCATGCCCACCATCTGAGTGGTTAGGGCCGCAATGGTGGAGTCAAGTCGGTTTAGTACCTCCTTCATTTCCTCCATTTTTAATATCGATAATTTCAAGTTCTTAATTTATTGGGATTTCAAGTGTTTATTTTTATTTTGGGTTGAAGTGGGGAAATAAGCAACAGGTTTTTTTGAAAATGTATTTTTTGTTGGGCAGCTTTCTTGAATGCATTCCACATCCGTTAGCCTTTCCAGCAGAACTTTTTGTAAATTTTATTTTTTATTAATTTATTGATCTTGAAGACATTTCTAACAGTTCTCCGCTCGCAAATTAATTGCCGCAGCGGTTATCTGTATTTATACCCGTTACTCGTAGAGTAAAAGGGTATACTAAATTCGTCGGAAAGTATGTAACAGGCAGAAGGAAGCGTTTCCGACCCCACAAAGTATATATATTCTTGATCAGGATCACTAGCCGAGTCGATCTAGCCATGTCCGTCTGTCCGGATGAACGCTTAGATCTCGGAAACTATAAGAGCTATGCTATTGAGATTTGGCGTGTAGATTCCTGAGCTTCTTACGCAGCACAAGTTTGTTTCAGCAGAGTGACACGCCCACTCTAACGCCCACAAGCCGCCCAAAACGGTGGGTCCTACAGTTTTGATGCTAGAATAAAAATTTTAACTGAAATGTATTGTTCTCATCAATACCTATCGATTGACCTAAAAAAAAAAAGTTTGCCACGCCCACCCTAACGCCCATAAACCGCCCACAAACTTCAAAAAATCGTAAATATGAACGTGGATATCTCGGAAACTATTAAAGATAGAGAATTGGGATTTCAGATTTAGATTCCGTAGCCTTATACGCAGCGCAAGTTTGTTACGCGAATATGCCACGCCCACTCTAACGCCCACAAGCCGCAAAAACCTGTGAGGCCCACAATTTTTTTGCTAGATAAAAATTTTTAACTGAAATGTATTGGTCTCGTCAATACCTATCGATTGGTCCAAAAAAAAGGGCGTTATTACCGATAGAATAAGAATACAGAGATGGATTACAACGATAAAAGGTCATAAAGTTACATCTAGAATAGTTCAAATTCAGCATGTTAATCATGCACCACGTATACAAACAATCAAGAATCAAGAATTAGGTAAACACATGGACAAACATAGCTTGACATCTGTATACCGCCGGTAGGTGGCGCATTTTAATCTCGCTTTACTACTTGCATATCTCAATTTAGCTGAGTAACGGGTATCTGATAGTCGAGGTACTCGACTATAGCGTTCTTCCTTGTTTTTTATATACTCGTGGACAATTATATCAGCAGGCCAAAAATTGGGGCAAAGAAGTTTAGAGAACAGCCCATCCGGAACAAGTATTTTAAATGAAGAGTAATCTCTTATCTGTTTAAAATTAAATTTGGTGATGTCAATACCATATTGATTGGGAAGGGAGAGGTTTGTGACAATATGATGCATAACGTCATTTATGTTATTGGCATTTTGTGCCCGCGAATATGCCGCGCCACAGGGTGCGTGGACAAATCGCCGCGGCAGGTTTACCGTCACATTAAATTAATCACAGTTTTTTTGCGCCCGTGGGGAGTGTCAGCTCTGAACGGCAGCACCCCCACCGCGGCGGGTAGCTGTGTTTCGCAAAAATTCTCATATTTTCATTTCTTGTATATATTTTTTATTTTTGAAACACACGCACAACACCACATTTTTTGTAATACTTTTGTAATATTAAACAGGAAATTTTCCTTTAAATTTTTGTTTAGTTTTTGAAGTTAACATTTTTAATATTTTATTTTCGTTTTTTAAGTTTTGGGGGGTTCTTTTTGTCCCACTTTCGCGAGAAAGTGGACACTGTTCGGGCGCCAGTTATGGCCAGACATGGCCAGAGGGGGGAGGATTCTCCCCGATATTACCTAGTCAGGTTCTGTTGCATTGCGGTTCCTTCCTTTTAGTTAACTTCTTCGTCTCTGCTTCCTTTTAAGCCTTTGTATTTGATCTTACGATTTTACTTTAAAATAAAACAGTAAACGTTTTTAAACGTTACAATTGGTTTTATAGCTTAAGATGATAGGTCTTGGCTGGTCGGGGTACAAATTCAAGTAAATCTAAAGTCATTCCTCGAGTCGCTGCGGCGGCTATAGCTGAGGCAGCTAGCGGACGGTCAGCGCTAACGGTCACCGCTGACGTTCTGTCGCTGTGCTGCCGCTCTGACGCCGCCGCCGCTGCGTCGCTGTCTTTCTGACGTCGCTGTCGCTGCGTCGCTGACGTTGTCTCTGCTGCTGCGCTGCTGCTCCATCGCTGCTGGTACCATAACTTAGCGGCTGCATTATTGTAGCCACTTGAATGTTCGATGTTGTTGCGTGGCCGAGAGGGGTGGGGCAATGGGACCTAGTTTGCGGGTGGCCGAGAGGGGTGATGAGAGAGGTGCGGTGTCCGGTATCGGTGTCGAGAGGGGGTGAAGGGAAGGGGGCGTTTGGCCGGTGTTAACATATATATATATATATATATATACTTACTTTGGCCGGTGTTAATATATATATATATATAAGTATATATATTAAACTCACCTTTTTGTAATTTACTCGAACTATTATTTTCATCTTCTCTTTTTATATTCTGCAAAAACAAACATATTTCCCTACTCAATCAGATTATAATATAATATCACTATTAGTTATTTTGAAATCGTTAATTGGTATTTTATCTGTGCTAATCTGACTTTCTTTTTTATTTAAATATTCAATTATCAGTTGACCTGCTAAATTCCTCGTTCTTAAATATAGCCCATTCTTTCTGCTTCATCTATTTCAATTTCATGTATTTGTGGACCATCACTAAGATAACCTGATTCTTCTTCTTCTCTCTTCTCTTTTACTCTCTTGTTTGGAAAGAAGTTCAGCATCTTTCGATATTTTTTCATAAACAATCCTATCTTTCCGTCTGATTACTGAATGGTATAAATCTTCTGAAAATTCAAAACAATTAATTCTTAACGTTGCTAGGGGGTATTAGTATTACGTTTATATTTTCGGTGGCGGTGGCGTCTAGATAAATATTTTAAATTTGTACGATTAGATTTACTCAGACTTCGCCTAGAATGTGATCTTCTATATATATTATTATAATGGCATTTAACTCCTACCGTAGCACTTTTGAATTGGACGGTGAAGAATCTGTTTAGACCTCTTCTTTCTAAATCCATATGTCCTCCTATTCTCCTTTCATTTTCAATTAATTTTTGTTTAAAATTCTCTATTATCCCCCTCTTTGTAAATTTGATTTGTGAATTATGCATGGTGTGAGGATGTGTGAAACACACCCTCCACATTTCGCCATTTCTATTCTTTCTGCCACGAAGGCATACAATTGGAGATTACGCCACGAAGGCACACCGGCTCACATCCAGCAAGCAGGACAAATAGCCATAAACTGGTTGAAAAAAATCTTCCAATCCATCCTGGCGGTAGGAGAACTACCAACAGCATGGCAAGAAACAAAGGTGGTTTTCATTCCCAAGGCAGGGAAGGCCACTCACACCACAGCAAAGGATTTTAGGCCAATAAGCCTAACATCATTCCTGCTTAAGAGCTTTGAAAGAATGATAAGCCTACACATAAGGGCCACCGTAGACCCGACACAAATATCAGAAGCACAACACGCTTACACCAAAGGTAAGTCAACCGAATCGGCGCTACACTTGGTGGTAAACAGCATCGAGAAATCACTCAACATCAAGGAATACACACTGATCGCCTTCCTGGATATAGAGGGAGCCTTCAATAACGTGCTTCCCACCGCTATAACAAAATCTCTCACAGAACTAGGGGTTGAGCCGCCAATGGTGAGACTAATCCATAAATTGCTGATAAGCAGAATGGTCACAGCCACACTAGGGACCTCGACCCAGACTAGACTAGTGAACAGAGGCACCCCGCAAGGAGGTGTACTATCACCCCTCTTGTGGAATATCGCAGTAAATAAACTACTGCGGATTCTGGAGGGAGGAGGCTGTAAGGTCGTGGCATACGCAGACGACGTCGCCATCATCTTTAATGGAAAATATCCACAAACACTTTGCGATCTTATGACCGCTAAACTTAAAATGCTATCGGAATGGACGATAGCGAACGGACTCGGGGTAAATAACTCGAAAACAGAACTTGTTCTATTTACGAATAAGTACAAAATTCCTCAACTTAACCCACCCATTTTAAACAATTGTAATCTCTCCTTTAGCGATCACGCCAGGTACTTGGGGTTAGTACTAGATAAACGCCTCAAATAGGGCTTAAACAACCAAGAGAGAACCAAAAAAGCGACCATTGCACTTTACTCCTGTAAAAAAGCAATCGGGCTAAGATGGGGCATGTCCCCGAGAATAGTTAACTGGATATACACAGCGGTAGTCATGCCAATCCTACTGTACGGAGTGGCTCTGTGGTTGACCGCCTTACACAAACAATGCATACTGACTCCTCTAAACAAAGTACAGCGAATGGCGGCTTTGTGTATTAGTGGAGCCCTTCGAACCACCCCGACTGAAGCGCTGAATGCGATCTTGAACCTCCCTACCCTGGTCTTAGCAGGCATGGAAAGGGCGAAATCGGCAGCTATTCGACTGAGGGACACAGGGCAGTGGAAAGCCCAATTATATGGCCATGCTAAAATTCTCCAGCATGATAAATCGATTCCGAAAATCACGGATCTATGCAGATCTATTGAATATAGTCACACACCCTTTGAGGCCCTGATTCCTGATAGAGAGGAATGGGAACAGGGCCGACCGGGCACGACGGACGCAATCTGTTTCTATACAGATGGCTCCAAATTAGAAGGACAAGTCGGCGGAGGTGTATACTCCGAACAATTAGATATCAGGAAGTCATTCAGGCTCCCGAACCACTGTAGCGTCTTTCAGGCGGAGGTCCACGCTATAAAAGAAGCACTAACCTGTTTAGGGAACCTTAGCCTCCAGAGAGGACATCTAAACATATATAGTGACAGCCAAGCGGCTATTAAGTCGATCTACTCGACAAACACCAACTCTCGTACAATAGCAGACTGTCGCAGATCTCTCCACGAGATGGCAAATCAGTTTACTATCAGCCTAGTATGGGTTCCGGGTCACCGGGACATCGTAGGCAACTGCATAGCGGACGAATTAGCCAGGCAGGGCACCACCAAGCCTCTCCTACCAGGAGAGGAAAATGTCGGTATGCCCATGGCTACTTGCAAGCTAAACATAAAAAACCACTTCAACACACTAGCCAACACCCATTAACAAAACGCACCACAGTGTCGCTCCACAGAACACCTTCTCTGCTTCTGCCCAGCCCTATGCAGACTCAGACTGAAACACTTAGGAAGCCCCTTCATCGACGTTCTTACCGAAATATCGGAGATTAATCTCAAAAGCATAAGTGCCTTTATTAAATCTTCCGGGTGGAAGACATGCTGATCAGCTTAACACAAGCTGAAACTACTAGAAACGGGACCCTAGAGAAGGAAGAAACGAGATCATGCGGTATCACAACGGACCCACTGAGGTCTAAGTGTGTCGGACTATAGTCCGACAGCCGCCCTAACCTAACCTAACCTAACCTTTCTGAGCTTCTTACGCAGCGCAAGTTTGTTTCAGTAGAGTGCCACGCCCACTCTAACGCCCACAAACCGCCCAAAACTGTGGCTCCTACAGTTTTGATGCTAGAATAAAAATTTTAACTGAAATGTAATGTTCTCATCAATACCTATCGATTGACCAAAAAAAAAAAAGTTTGCCACGCCCACCCTAACGCCCATAAACCGCCCACAAACTTCAAAAAATCGTAAATATGAACGTGGATATCTCGGAAACTATTAAAGATAGAGAATTGGGATTTCAGATTTAGATTCCGTAGCCTTATACGCAGCGCAAGTTTGTTACGCGAATATGCCACGCCCACTCTAACGCCCACAAGCCGCAAAAACCTGTGAGGCCCACAATTTTTTTGCTAGATAAAAATTTTTAACTGAAATGTATTGGTCTCGTCAATACCTATCGATTGGTCCAAAAAAAAGGGCGTTATTACCGATAGAATAAGAATACAGAGATGGATTACAACGATAAAAGGTCATAAAGTTACATCTAGAATAGTTCAAATTCAGCATGTTAATCATGCACCACGTATACAAACAATCAAGAATCAAGAATTAGGTAAACACATGGACAAACATAGCTTGACATCTGTATACCGCCGGTAGGTGGCGCATTTTAATCTCGCTTTACTACTTGCATATCTCAATTTAGCTGAGTAACGGGTATCTGATAGTCGAGGTACTCGACTATAGCGTTCTTCCTTGTTTTTTATATACTCGTGGACAATTATATCAGCAGGCCAAAAATTGGGGCAAAGAAGTTTAGAGAACAGCCCATCCGGAACAAGTATTTTAAATGAAGAGTAATCTCTTATCTGTTTAAAATTAAATTTGGTGATGTCAATACCATATTGATTGGGAAGGGAGAGGTTTGTGACAATATGATGCATAACGTCATTTACTGTTATTGCTGCATTCAACCTAGACACAAAAATAGATTTCCTAGGTACCGTGACAGTGAGTGGTACCGGAGAAGAGAGAGCAGGGCTATGCGTGTTTTTCCTAGGGATCATGCTAGTAAGTGGGACAGGAGGAGGTGCAAGGGTATTAACTATAGGCAGTACAAGGTGCGGCGGAGCCCCGGAAGTGGCAACAGCCGGTGAACGGTTAGTATGCCTTAATGACTCAGGCGAAACTACAGTCCCATTCGTTGATGACTCGATCCCATTGGGATCATCCTCGTCGCACGACACATAGCCTGCAGTGGGGCTGGGAAGAGAGAGGTTGGTCGAGAGATCTGGAACGTGTAAAGAGACATTAGGCAGTGTAGGACTACGATTTATATTTAATGAAGATTGACTTAGAAGAATCCGACCTTTAAAGTTGGAGTCGCAAACATTAAATCGACTTAATAGGTCCCTAAATCCAGCACGTAATGCCTGGAACTCCAGCTCCGTTTGCCTCATAAATGCTCTTATATCGATTTTGATATGTAGGCATGTAGGGCACGTCCAGTCCAGGTTAGCATTAGATCTAGTGCGATCAGCAATTTG